TACTGGGCTATAGAAAAATTTGAAGATATTTGATAACAGGAAGACTGAAATTACATAAGATAGGGAAGTTTTTCAGCTGTGTTCTTTTCTTAACATTAGCTTGTGCATTTAACTAAAACCAGTCTATGGTTACAGAGTATGGCTGTCCTTGTGGTCTTTGCATGAGATGGCACAGTTGGAAAAGAGTCTTAAACTTGTACATTCCAATCAGAAGTGATACAATCCAGATCAGCTCACGGACAGTTCAAGAAGAATCCTTTCATTTTGTGTTAAGAGGGAAGTTAGCAGCCCAGATAGCTGTACATTCCAGCCACTTTCCTCACCATGTGAGAATGTATTTGTTTTAGCCTCAAGGGAAAACACAACAGTTTTGGTAATCTCAGAAAACAAAGATGAAAGGTAAAACCTTAGTATGTATATTTGCTTGAACTTCCAGTCAAATAATCAAAACCAAGCTTTATTGCATGTTTAATTTTAAACACTATTCAAACTATCATCTGTCATCTAATTATCTAATGTTTATCATCTATGCAGTAGACAGCTACTTACAGTGATCAATGTAGGGAGTATGAATCAACAGATTTGAAAATATTATAAATGTGAATCATGATTTTATAAAAGTGCTTTCCATGTCTGTGATTGGGATTTAACACCCCTCAATCTCAAGAACTTCTATTACAACCATGACTGACACAGGAATGAATGGTTTAAGTGAGATATACTGCTCTGATTTTAAGTCAAACCTATATATAAAAATCAACCCCATATTTTCTAACAATTTTAGGAAAACTGAACTTGAAAGATTTTTCCTGGATATAAAAATCGATAACTACAGATGAAGATCCTGACTTGCTATTGCCCTTACAAAAAATCTCAGAGGACAATGAAATAACCATGGTAAGGATCCAAAGGTTTAAATGTACTAAAAATACTAAAATAAGAACTGTACTGAAAACTTTTCTGACTTACTATTTTTAACTGCATGCACTAAAATACTGCAAACACAGCAAGAAGACAGCAGGGAGCCAAATTACAGGTCAACCCAAAGTATAAAGTCAAGCGTGGTTCTTTTGAATGGTTCTTTTTATGGTTCTTTTGAAGGAAAAAAGGTAGACTTATAATCAGAACAACAGAGTAGTTGCTTGTTCAGTTGGTTACTGATGACTAAACACTTTTCTCCCTATTTGTTTTTATTACAGTTTAGTTGTTCTGATATAAGCCTCATTAATGTGTGACCTCAAGTGTAACAGTCTAAAGAAGCAGACAACAATTGCTGAAATAATCCATGAACAGATGAGTATTATGTAATCCATTAGCAATATATATAGCTTTATAAAATCATTAAATTATTATTCTTGTCCTCTTGTCACTTCTTTGGAGGAAGGTATCTGTGTAAAACTTTTGTTTAAAATATAATTTTAAGTTTAAAATATATGTTTAAATATATAAATGTGTGTATCATTTATCAAGAGTGGGCAAGACCAACAGAATGAGGGCAATGAGAGCAAGATGCAAGGTGGTCACATTTGCTGGGGGTATATGCAGAGTGAAATGTAAAGGAAAGAATACACTGAAGTGATGGAATTCCAATCATGCCACATGGAAATAAAACCAGTTATTGAAAATAAATAAATAAATAAATCAGCATCTACCTAGCAATTTTCACACTAGTTGATTAGGACCATTCTAATTCAGAATTATTTCTAATAATCACTTTCAATATTTATACATCCAAGACAGTCAAAACACTTGCAGAGAAACATGTCCAGTACATGGCATATTGTGAACATTAATCTATCAAATGCAGGTATTTTAAGCCAAGCAGTACTTATAAACTGAAGCCTAGTCTTTTTCCACATACTAGAAAAAATATCTTGCAAGATTGTTTACATTATGAATTCAAAGATCACATATCACTATGACCATCCAGTTAAGTTTTCCTAAATTCTTTGTAGGAAAACTTAATGACGTGATTTTTTTTCTGACTTAATATAAAGCTAAACTGACCATCTTATAGATGCACAGTGAGGAGAAAAAGCAGAAGTAAACCAATGTAACGTTTCTGTAATTCACAACAGTACTGGGAGACTCACTACAGATTATCAATTTTATTAATATTAAATTTAAAATTATATAATAATTTGCATTTCCCCATACTGTACAAGTGTTAACCAATCAATTTTCATAACACAACTATCCCCTTTTATATACTGTGAAATTGTCATGGGAAATTACCAAAAAAGCAACAAGAAAGAGTTGATTTGTATTACACGTTAAGTTCTCAGTTAAATCTTTTCAAGTACGCTGCTAAGTATAAATTACGCACTGATAAGCATAGGACTCTAGTAAACATAGGAAAGTAAAAGGAAGGAAACTTCTCTAGCATGCTTATTAAATGATCTCATCAACTTGAAAAAAATTACAATTACCTCAAATTTAATATGAGGTCTCTCTGCCCCCCTACCCCCACAAAGGGGGAAAAAGACCCTCGTCTCAGATTTGTGTACAAAGCTGCAAAAACAGGATACATGAGGCCAGCAGCTGGGCGGGGGGGGAGTCGACACATGGTAGAGTCCTGCTGCCTGCCCCAAGCCTCCCCCTTGCACTGTCATCGCTACTACCTGCCCTGGGGAACAGGTCTCTTGTAGCCTCCACCCGAGCGCACATGGGGTGGGTAGACAGCGGGAGCCCCCTCTGGCACCACCAGGGTGGGGTGGGGCGGGGGTTAGTGTCCTGTTGGCAGGGGACATGTAGTGCCACAGCCCCTACCCCAGGGGGCGTCCTCCGCACCCAGCTGGCCCTGGCCCCAGTTACCGCTGCCTCCAAGTCCTCCTGGCTGCTGTCACCATCACAGCTGGGCACCGTGCTCACTCCTTCTGTCACCATCTTCTCACTGAATGGCAAAATCCAGGACAAATGCTATCCCGGAGTCATTCTGCCTAGGACCAGGACTTGATATGCATGTTTTGGGGCTGTCCTGCCCAATTAGAGACTGGTGGTCACCCTACCCTGAGCTTGGGTTGAGGCTACAGTCAGTCCTATAGCAGTCTCCTACCCCTGCCCCCCTGCAGCTTTTGCCCTGCCCCCTGCCCCCTTCCCCCCTGTTACTGTTAGGCACAGTTTGGCTGTGACTGGATTCCCTCCTAGGCATGGCAGATGTGGAAAGTCCATCCCCTGCCTAGACAATCAGCAGCACTGATACTCCTGCATGGCCTGGTAAGGGTAGTGCTTCCACATGCTGGGCTCTGGGGAGAGAACAGAGGCTGAGCAGCATCTAATAGTAAGGTGGGGGAGGGAGGGAAGGGCAGAAACTGTGGTGAATATGTGGGAAGGGACAGATATTGTGGGGAGCTGGGGCAGAGCAGGTACAGGTAGTGGGGGGGCAGTGGCCAAGGGCTGTCTGATCCCCCCGCCCCTCTGAGGCTACCTGTCCCTGCCGCCTTTCCTGCTGTAGCAGTGGTAGAGGAGACGGGGGGGCAGGGGGCGTGACAAATTTAAAGACAGTGCTTCAATAATTAGATTCTATACCTGGAAAATTATAACAAATATATACATTTTCCATATACAGAATCTAATTATTGGGAGACCTTCTTAAATTCATATTAGATTCAAGAAAATATGTATTTGAAATTTATTTTTACAATCAAAATTACCATATTTACTTGAATCCAAGATAAGGAGTCTATCCCTGTCCCCCCAACATCCCCCTGTCCTCTCAAGCAATATGGTGGGGAAAAAAGTCCCGTCTCAGATTCCACAACCAGCCAGAGTTAGGGAGCTGCTGCTGTTCCTCTGGCTCTGATCAGAGCTGAGAGCTACCACCTGCCCCTTTAGTCTTTGATTTGAGTAATTATGGTAACTAAAAGATGTGAAAAGACTGCACCTATTTTTACAATTTACTTTCTGCATCTGACAGCATCACATGTATATCAAATTTCCCTTGTTTGCATCTCCAGACAGGAAAGGAAGGAGAATCACTATTTGGTTGTGAGAATTGTTCGTTTTCCAAATTAGCAAGGTTCTATCATCAATTGTTCTGTTAGATTGACTACTAATGCTAATAAATGCTAATGTCTGCATTAATTTATCTTTTTACAAACTTCTTACAAATAACATCTATTTAGAATGCTGTGAACCCGGAATGCTTGAAGTTTCACGTTTCTAATTAACCATATGCATACGTAATACTGTATGTATTTTCAGAAGAAAAAAAAATGGTCATGAACATTGAATCTCAAAGCCTCCTCAAAAATTTTCTGAAAAGTCAACTAAATCCAAACATATTCCATTATTTATATTGAAATCTTTATTATTTTATAAAATGAAATTTACATTTTATTCTCATTCCATTTATTACAATTCTCAGCATTAGAGTTTCTAATCTTTATGAATATATGTTTTAACATAAAGATTGTAAATTATCACTTAACATTTTTACTTATCCAGAACCTATTAACACATTTTTTTTTTTAACCAACAGAATACTTTTTTTCCTTCAGTTCAAAGTAATAGAAATAAGGCTGAAACAAAAAACAATTTAAGGCCAAAGCCTGCTTTCATTTTTACAGGTTCAATTTGGGAATTATGCCCATGCAAATTAGTGAAGAATTTGCCTCCAAAACAGGAAAATTAGATTGACACCTTTATTTTCTGGTTTCAGTTCTCTTAAGATGGTAAAAGGAGATCCCAATCTATTTATAAAAACCCCTTAGGGAAATGAAGGAATTCATATGTGCACATATCTGTCTGCTTCAGGATGATCCTGAACAAACAGGTTTTGTATTTTCTATTGTAGGACTAAGCAAAACTGAGAATTAATAAGACACAGTAAATATCTTAAAGCCTGAAGTAAAAAGAAATGTTTGACGTATACAAATCTTTTAATGAAATTATACTGTCCTGAAGATGCATATCTACTTAGAGTTTGTGAATGGTGGGGTTGACTTGAACAATTCTTGCTGTTTATGCTACAAATCTTAAAATGTTTTTAATTGTCTTACCAAATGTCACTTCTCCATTGCCACTCTTGTCAAATAACTGAAAAGCAACAATGAACATTGCATCTGGAGTACACAAAACTGACTCAAATGCCAAAAACTCTTGATAGGAGATCAACCTATAAAGAAAATACAGAAGTTACAGTAGTTCCTAGAAGAATTTAAGATCCAGGATTAGGAAATAAACTGATGTCCTGGATTCTGTAGGTATAAGAAGTGTCATGTGACCCTGTAGAAGTCACTTATCCTCTATGTGACACTGATTCTTTATCTGTATGAGAACTGCATTTACCTACCCTTCATATGGATAAAAGCAAAATACAATTCAATGCAAACCTACTGTCTAATACCTGATAATTATTTTTCCAAGTGCTGTTCTGATTGAATTTGTAAGGTGTGAAGTAACAAAGAATTGCTGCTGACATGAAATTTGGAGGTTTGCCACTGCCACATAGCTCTCATATACAGTGCGTGTAGTGCAAAAATAAAGACCCTTTAATAAGATCACTACACACATTTCTAGAACATAAATCACCACAAGACTAGAACACTGGATTTTTGAGGACCAACTTACAGATAAAATAAATTAGCCTGGAAAAGCCAGAATATAAAATGCACCTTGAAATTCTTTCAAGAAGATGGAATTTTACACAGCTGTTCTTCAAATTATACATTCAAAACATGTATATGTACAGCAATTTTCAATGTATGCATTTTAAATTATCACATATCTAGAAAATTGCTGCAGCTTTATATGCAGGGCCATATACTTTTTGTGGGGGGCAATAACTTTTGCTATAAAAAAAAATCTGGGAATTTATCAGCTGGAAACATCTAAGGAAGAGACAGACCTTGGTATACTAGTTGATAAAAGGATGACCATGAGCTGCCAATGCAATAAAGCTGCAAAAAAGGAAAATGTGATTCTAGAATGCAGCAGAACAACTATTTCCAGTAGGGAGGTACTAGTGCCATTATACAGGGCACTGGCAAGATCATCCATGTTCATGACTAACTCAGCTTGAAGCAAGTGCAGATAAGGGCTACGAGGATGAGGAGGAGAATGGAGAGCTTATCATAAAAGGAGACTAGAAGAGTTTGGCCTTTTTCCTAGCAGAATGAAGGCAAATTTGACTACTGTTTATAAAATGTGTTGAGAGAGAAAACATTAAGCAGAGTAAAGGAGCCAACCAACCCTAGGTATATAGCTTCAGTCAAAAAAGAGGTCCTAAAATCCTGTAAATTCCTATAGCTAACCACACCAAACAAACATAGGCTACTGATGACTAATCAATTATAGAAATGCTGGCCATCCAATTCTTCCAGCCTGGGCACAACCTAGTTTGCAGAAGAGGAGGGAGACTGGAAACAGTACAGGGGAGAGAAACTATTTAAATTAAAGAATAATGTTGGCACATAGAGGCGTAACAAGTCAGCTGGGCGCTCTGGGCAGCTGCTATGTACAGAGGTAGTAGTAACTTCCAGCTGCTGCCACACTGCTGGCATGATCATACAGCTGCAACAGCAGCTGCTATTTTTCTGCTCCCCTGCCTGCCAAGGCAGCACTTGGAGCTACTGCTCCAGTTGCACTGCCTTAGTTACACTACTCTTGCCACATGAATTTATGGTACCAACTGGCCAGGAATACATTGAGGCTGGAAATTAGAAAAAAGTTTCTGACCATTAGAATAATCTAGTTCCAGAATGTCCTTCCAGTCAGACTTGTGGATGCAAAAAAAATAAAATAAAATAAAATTCTAACTGCTTTTAAGAAGGAGTTTGATAAATTCACAAAAGAAATGTGACAGTCTGCAACAGCAGAGGACTAGACTCAATGATCCAAGAGGTCCCTTCCAGTCCTGTGTGTCTAGGATAATTTTATCAAATCTTATAATTAACTGTATATCTATTTTGTATTTATATCAGTTAAAAGTTTTTATTTCATTTTAAATCTCTAAAATTAATTTAAGATACACAAAAATTATTTCAGTGCAATAGATGCAATTAACATGCATAACATATCTGCAGACTGTCAATGTAAGTATTCTCTTGATGCAGAAGGGTGTATCTAGTGCACAGTGTGTAGCTGTTATTTTGCACAGAGGCTGTCATTTCTGAAGACCTCTGTAGGACAAATGTATAATTTAGAACACAGTTTAACTGATTAGGCCCTAGTAGCCATTAGTTCATCTAGTCTTGCTCAAACATGCTCAAATGAGAATAAAAGATGTTTAATGAGATCACAATTTCCATTTTCTCACTGAAGTAGAATCTTCATACGTTATGCACCACTGAATACAATGGAAAAAAAATCACAACATCAACACTTCTATCACAGACTATCATTTTAACTATTTACAAAAATTGTGGTGATTTTGGAATAATAAGGTCCTTAGTTCTGTTTATCAGTTTTTAACCTAAAAATCAAAATGGGTGCAACAACTATGCAGATTCCAATGCAGATAGTCATACCCAAAAGGAAGATTATTGTCCATCTCTATAAAATAAGGAGTTTATTAGTGATAAAATGGGTAGATTAGATGTTATTCTCTGAAGAAAAAAACCTTTAGGCAGCTATGTACATGGTGGACCAGATCTTATTGCACCTATTGGCTAGGGACAGACATTCAAAAAGCCTGAGCCTGAATTGATTCAATCTTTGCAGGTTAGTTTAACCTGGCGAGGCTCAACCGGTTTGTAACTGTATAGATATCCCCCCTGGACTGAGGAAATGCAGGCACATGTCTGTAGTCGCTCAGGCTAGAAACCAGGGTGTGCTATTGCAGCCCTCCCTTCCTTTCCACAATGCTGAGCTGAGGGGGGGCCGTGGGGCAGGACGCTCTGATTAGGGAGGGGTTCCCCCCCCTCACTGTTGATAACAGAGCATTGAGTTACACAGCAGGGAGTTACACAGGGAGTTGTTAGCATGTATCAGTCCATCAAACAAAACAAAGCCTCTCTCATGAGTTCAAGCTCTTCCTAAACAACTTTTTCCAAGGAAGAAACAGAAGGACATTATCAGCTACCTGTTGATTACCTCCTAAGAGCTGTAAGCCAACAATGTCCCATCTGCCTTTGTCCTGTCTGCCACAGCACGGACTGTAGCCAGCATGTGGTATGCTAGCTAATGCTGATAGGCGTCTCTGTAAGGCAGAGGGGAAGAGGGAATCCTTGCTTGAGCCGGGAGTGGTGAGGGGGATGGGGTGGGGAGCAGGAGGAAGCCAGGCAGACCCCGCTGTACCTGCAGTCTCTGCCGGAGCTCCAGCCAGGGAGCAAAAGGGAAGGCATTGGCAATGCACAGGGGGTGCATGTGCATCCCCTGAGATCATCCGTGCCCCCCCGAGAGTCCATGCTGCACTTCCAGTTTTGCTGCCAGCACTTCTGCTGGCGATCAGCTGCTGGGGGACCCCGCCCCAGTCGGCAATCGGCGGCTGGTGCTCCTTCTGTATTAGGAGGCACTAGTCACCCATGGGGGAGGGGCCACCCCTGCTGGGCTGAAGCAGAGAGCAGAACCCTGCCCAGAGTTGCAAAACATCTGAGCTGCTGGAGGATTCTGATTTAACTTACACCATGAAGGGGTCTGGGACAGATATTGCATAAACTGGTTTGACCCAAATCAGTTAAATCTGATACTACCTTCAACCAGGTTGATCTCAAACCGGTTTCAGCCATTTTCAACTAGTTTATGTGCACTGAACATCTGCTCTGTTACAGGTTTAAACCAGTTTCTATAACTTAAACCAGTTTATGTGTAATGTCTGTCCCTAGCCATTACGTGCCTGAGTGAACTTATCCACCAATTCTATTCCACCTTGCTCACGTCCCTGAAACATTCTTAAAGCAAAAAAAAAAAGGTGAGTACTTCTTCTGTTATGCATTTTTTATTTAGCCTCAAGGTTAAGATGATGGCATGTTACAAAAGGAAAGAAGTTAATAGTTTATCAGGGAATTGAGATTGGTGGAATAGGTTCCCACTGAAGCATGGGCAGGCAATTATCTGGTCTGGAGAGCCACTTAAGGAGTTTTGATGAGCTGTTGCAGGCTAGGTGTAGGGGTGAGGACCCAGCCGGGGGTGAGGGCAGTTGATCCTATCTAGCCCTATCCACCCCACACCCACCAGCTGAAATGCCAGACTGAGAGGGCAGGCAGGAGGGGTCTCCATGGAGACAAGCCTAGGACCCCCGCAGGCATGGCACACTCATTTGGGGAAATGGGGCCGTAGGCGGGTGGGGAGTAGTGTCGGAGAGTGGGATGGTGACAGCATGGGGCTGGGGCCCAGGGCAGAGCCACGATCCGCTCCACACACCTCCCTACAATGGCTGCTGGTTCTGTGGGCAGGGACATATGGGGAGTAGATTGTGGCTCTGCCCCAGGCCCTGGCCCTGTGCTGTCACTACTATGCCATGATCCTGACACCAGTACCTGCCTGCCTATCCCGCTCCAAGATGCCACTCCCCACCCACCCATCCACAGCCCCATCCCATCCACCCAGCTGCCTGTGGTGTCCTGAGCCAGTTGCAGTGGGGAGCTTGCCCACCTGCCCCATCCATCACTGCTGGCTGTAGGTGCAGGGTAGACTGGCAGCGACAGCCAGGCAGAGTGAGCCACTGTTGCAAGGGCTTCAGGGAAACCGAGTCCAGCTGCTGCACTGCCCCGCCCCACCACGTGCCTGGGGGTGCCGGGACCAGAGTCATATGCCACAGCCTGGACTGCCCCCTCTGCCTGGGCCAGGTGGGGCCGAGGGACCTGCCATGGGCCAGATGGAATACCTTGGTGAGCTGGGTCCAGCCTGCAGGCCATATTTTGCCCTGCACTAAGGCATTTACCAGGTAAATTAGGACCTGGCCCTTTAATTCTTAAATACTCATGTTGTAACTATGCAGTGATTCCCAACAGGAATATCTTGAGATCCTTTCAGGGGTGCAACGGGATGCCACACACTGTTAGCACTGTTAGTTGTGGAAACATGATTTATAAAATAAATTGAGAGATTTCAAAATGGAATTCATAGTGTTAAAAACATTCTGATCTATTGTGGTGTTGGAGTCCTTTGCAATAGAAGAATTGTCCTATTTTTTTTTCTGTAGTTGAAAAACGAGTGAAAACTAGGATCATTTTC